CGACAACTGTACCAATCTGCCCATTGTATCTTGGTAGAAAGTGCATCTGCCTACCCAGCCTGGAGTCTGTTCTCTTAATCAAACTGTCATCATGAGTAATAATTATACCTTGGGAAACAGCAGAGTGACTCAAAATGCTGTCCCCTCCCCCACCCCATCCTCTCACCCCCGCTGAAGCATTGCACGCACAGTATGAGAGGCCCAGAAGAGTGGAGCCACCATTTTTCCCCCTCCTCTCAGCTCTCTGAACACTTTCGGTGGTTGTTTGGGTTCTGGGGCCTGGTGGGCATCGGTCGACAGTGTCTTAGGAGGTTATTTATTTATTTATTTATTTATTTATTTATTTATTTATTTATTTATTTATTTATTTATTTATTTATTTATTTTTTTGGTTTTTCTCCGGTACCGGGAATTGAACTCACGACCTTGCGCTTGCCAGGCAGGCGCTTTTGACGCTGAGCTAAATCCCCAGGCCCTGTCTTAGGAGGTTAAAGCGCTCAGTAGGCCGGACTGTGCCCAAGCACAGTGGACTGGGAAAGTGAAGGGCGGAAGTAAGTGTTGTACTCACTTGGTGCGTGTGTATGATGCAGCACTTGGGGATGGTGTCTTTGCCTCTTAGATCTAAGTGGCCTGAAGCCTCAGGAATAACACATAGCACTTCCCACCAGCTCAGGTACAGCCATAAGTGTCAAATTATAGGAGAGCAGACACTTATTCAGAACCTACTGTGCGGCTATCATCAGACTGAATGTTTTAGCTTTAATATAATAGAGGTCAGTAAAGTATCAGGCTACCTGAGATGTTAAAATATTGGGATAGTAGTTCAGTCCTCATCGGTACCCCCAGCTGCAGACCCCTGGCCTAACTCCACCGCCCCCCACCCCTGTGACCCAGCACACAATGGGGTGATACTGGCACAGCAGGGGCCTCCCCGCTCCTGCTCAGGGTGATGACTAGTGTCATTTCTACTCGTATGTTGAACTTTACCTCAGTGCATACCGTCTCACACCCCCTCACCAAAGCCCTGTTACCATCCCCATCTCGCAGTTGAGGAAGCCCAAGCTAAAGGAGCTGCCCAAGGCCACGTGGGGAGACCCAAGGCTGGGGTTGAAGCACGGTCACACTGACTGTGAACCTGGCTTTTGGCAACCTGGCTGTTTGGGCAGAAAATGCATGTTAGTGTTGGCAGTTGCCCTGCTCTTGCTCCTTTGCCCTGAAACTGGTCCAAGCTATAAGAAACACCCACCAGCAAGCCAGCCGAACTGCTCTTCCCCTGCCTGTGGAAGTAAGTGCGTCTCTGCTCCCATCACTTCCCAGGTGACCATCTTAGAGTCCTAGTCACCAGGTGGGCCAGGGCCACAGGGTTTCAAGACATATGGCTCCAGGGACTGAGAGACCCTCCAGGCAGCGTCCTCCTAGGGACGTGGATTTTCCCAGGGTCTCTAAACAATGGGATATGGACCCAAACTGAAGGGAGGGGCTAGGCTGACACAGGTAGGAAGGTATCTGTGTCCTGGAAGGACGGTAACGGCTGACTGTTGCATGAAAGAGCTCATTTCCTAAAAATCTAAGAGCTAGGCATAGCTCAGTCTGCGATGAATCAGGTCCTTCCTGGCTAGGGTCATGGGGGGAACAATGCCTCCTGAAAGACCTGCATGGCCCCCAAACTGCACCCACGTCCACAGTCACTGTGGAATGTCATTTCCCTAAAGAACCTGCAATGGCCCTATAGCCAAATTCACAGAATACTAGGGTTAGTCCAGTGACACATTCACCTTCTGTGCAGGACCTGTCATACCTCTGACCATGCACCGGTGCCCAGCACATTTTATTCGAGCATCTCATCAACGAGCACCTCTAAGTCTCATGGCCTACAGTCCCCAATAAATGCTGCCCTCGGGAACTGGGGACAGAATACTTACCACGGGGCAGGGGGTTGGGGGTGGTGGTGAGATTCACCACTGGAAAGAGGGACCGTTTATAGCCCAGCAGTTGCTAAAGGGAAACACACTTTCCATTTCCTCTTTCTCTCGACAAATTTTAAACTCCCTCCAGGTTCTCTTTCAGGAGGCCCCTAATTTGTCCTTACAAAGGCTCTCATTAAAGTCAAAATGTGGTTCACGAGGCCCCCTGTCTTCATCTATCCCCAAGCTCCATTTTTCTAATGAGGACCTCCTTATAAAACTAATAATGCAAGTCTAATTTCATGGTGCATTTGTCATATCAGGCACCGTGCTAGGAGTTTTATGTGGATTCTCCTTTCATGCACTCATTCATTTGCATTTCCTTTCAGTTAATTGAACTTGGAGCTACTCCCTCTTTGCCCACCGTCCACCTTCCAAGCAGTATCAGCAGGTGGAAGGGAGCAGAGGCCCTACGGACATCATTTTGTCCTTCCTCCCACCCTGCCCTGGGCTAACCCCAGTCTCTCCCTAGAAGCAGAAATCAGCCCTACCACAGATTTCCCCTGAGACTTCTGAGTGCTCAATAAATGCAGGCAGAAATAACTGAACCCCAAGCACTCTGTGGATGCTGTTTGGATCACCCTCTGTGAAAGTGTAATAAGGACAGGTACCACTTTTTCCTCTGCACTCATGGGCAATTTACATATAGCATCATACATCATCACGGATCCTCCCATCAACCTGGGTCAGTAAGGTCTGAGGTGCAGAGAAGCTGTCTGGTTTACATGGATTTGAAACCAGATCCACTGGGATCTGAAGCTTAATTTCTTTCTGAGGTACCATCCTCCTCCAGCTGTGTAGATGACTGAGGAATTAATTCTTTTATTATCAGTCAGCAAAGGAGCCCCAAAGATAGAATCCAAGAGGATTGCTTAACAGGATAAATATGTCCCAAGACTGGCACCAGGACAGGTCCCAGCCTTGCCTTCCGGGCAAAGCATCAGCCTCCGCTTTCTCCCAGAGCAGGGCTTCCTGGTAGATATGGGACATCCACTTAACTTTGGGTTTCAGAAAAACGGTGAGTAATGTCTAAGTCTGTCCCAAACGCTGCATGGGCCATACTTATACTGAAAGCAAACTATTCAGTTACGCTTATTTGAAATTTAAATCCGAGTGTCCCCTGGTTTTTATTTGCTAACTCCATCCTGAAGTTGAGGAGCGGTGAGAGTCTCCTGTCGGGCTGCAGGTACCAAGCTTTGCTCCTAGAGGAGCTGCCATGGCAGCTGCTTTTGGCCTCTGGTGTGCTTCACTCTCCAGCCGGTGCTGTCTTCCCCTCTTTCCTTTTGCCTGACTAATTCCTATTGATCCTTCAGTTTTCCATTTACAGCTACTTCTGCCAGGAAGCCCTCCGGCCATCCCTAAATGGCGCTGCCCACCCACTGGAGCCCTGGGCCCCCCTCTGAGAGGCTGAGTCAGGCTCAGTCTCCCTGCACCTAGCACCCGCACCCGGCTGCAGGTAGGAGGGCAGTGAATGAAGGCAGGCTCTCCCGCCAAAGTCGGTCCTCTGAATGTGACTGCTTCCTTCTGCCCTTCCCCGGGAGTCACGCTTTCACTGAGGCACCCTCTGCCCGCCCTCCCTCATTCCAGGGAGGTATAGGGCAGCAGGAGCTCTTCAGGTGAGCAGAGCGCCCGTGCTTGGCCCGACCTCCGGGCACCCCTTACCCTGTTCATGCCATGGGCCCTGCCTCAGTGGGCTCCAGTCTTGGTGCTGGGCTGCTTAAAGCTCTCCCACCTCTGGCTTCCAAGTCCTGGCTCAGGCCACTGCTAGGGCAAAACCTGGCCCCTTACGGAGCACATGGGGTCTCTCTCCCAGTTTGGGGGTGTGGGGAGCTGCTGGGGTCAGATGGTTGAGGGTTAGGGCAGGTGGCCGGGGCTGATGGGCCTCAGAACATCACCCATATGCTCCTCCTTCACCCACCCAAAGCTTTGCCCACGCACAGCCTGGCAGCAGGAGTGGAGCAGCACAGAACTTAACCCCTTCGGGTATCCCGAAGGCAGCGACCAACCAGCGCTAACTTTAATGCCCAACACGCCCGCGCGCACACACACACACACACACACACACACACACGCATACACACACACACACACACACACCACTTGGACTTCCGCGACCCCCTTGCAGAGTCCCCAGTTTGGGGATTCAGAAAATGCCCCCCAAGGGGGATGCAAGAAATACGCTGGAGCAACCGGGTGGGGAGTGTGACCCCAGGGGGTGCCCAAGGGCAAGGGGAAGCGGGGCAGGGCAGAGGTCTGGGGCCGGAGCCGGTGTGGGGCTCCGGAGCGAACGGTCAGTGGTCTCCGATCGGACCTCTGGAGACAGGCAGTCTTTCCGTGCCCCCGCGCGTGGCCCCAGCCTCCCGTGGCCTGGTACGTGAAGAGGACAAAAAGGGGGAAACACCCTTTCGTCGCAAATGAACTCCAAAAATAGAACCCCTCCCCCTGCGGGACGCTAGCGAGCTCCCGGCGAGCTCCGCTCGGATTTTCCCGACCGCTCGCTTGTTTTCCAGGAAGTCCTGGGCGGGTCCAGGTACCCCGAAAGCCGGAACTATCGCCCCCTCCAACCCCTTCCACCCCGGCCGGCCTCCAATCCTGACCTGGCTCGGCCGCGGGTCGCGGGAGGGGACTCACAGGGCGGGAGCGTGGACGCGGCGGCGACTCCTAGGGCTCGGCCAGGTGAGCCGGGGGCCGCGCAGGTACGGGCGTGCGGCGCAGGGCGGCGCGGGCAGCGGCTGAGTAACAGGGCTGACAGGTTGGTGTTTCCCCCTCCTCCTCCTAGCCGTTAACCACACCCCTGCCGCTCTCCTCCCCACTTCCTTAAAGGGTGGGGTGTGCTGTCTCTGTGTGCCTGCTCCAGCCTCTTACCATAAACTCTGAAATAGTCGCTGCCACCAATTCCCCAGGCTGCCCGGCTGACCTGCGGCCATCTCTGCGTCCCTCCCGGCCCCCGATGGGGTCCTCAGGTGTCCTGGGAGCCTTGCGAGTGGTGGATCCCCAACTCCTAAGGCAGCGACGCCCCCTGCCCCCACTGCACCTGTACTCCTCGGGAGGCCACGCCTTTGGAAGTTGGTTCCCAGTGGGCCCCATAGCCTGTCCCGTGCCGTGGCACCAGTACAGTCTCTCCACATCCTGAAGTGGCTCGACCCCCTTGCAGGGCATCTCCTGGAAACCATTTGGGGCACTGGAAGCGGCCAGGTTCCAAAGCGCCAAGGACCAGGTCCCGGAGCTGGGACCAGGCAAGGTCAGAGGGCAACACAAGAATAGGGAAGCCAGCCTGCACTACACTGGCTCGCTTCATGCCAGGACAGAAAGGCTGGCCACTTCCTCACTCCGGCCAGAGTGGGACTGGAGTTGGGATTGGAGGCGGGGACTCAGGGGCACTTTGCCGTGTGTCTTCCCTGGGGCTAGCAGGAGTGCAGACTGTCTCCTGAGTGGGAGGAGGACGTGGGTGATGGTCACTGGCATGCTCAGCGCTGCTCTTGACAGCCCCTCCCCCAGCTCCGTTAGTCTCTGCCCTGTGGAGGCCGGGGGTCTGGATGCCTTTCACAGTGTGTTTCTGAGGGGTACCTTGGAGTTGGGAAGCATGGCGCTGCCTGACACCTGTGACAGCCAGGCATGCACCACTCACTCTACAACATTACTCTGAATTCCCTGTCTCTGAAGAGAAAGTAGGGCCTTGGGTTAATTAACAAAGCCATAAAGTCGGCGTTTCTCAAAGTGTATTTATTGGTGGACTACGAGGAGCTTTAATCCAGACGCCTGTCTGGGTGACTGGAAATCGGAATGTGGAGCCAGGGCCCACCTGCCCCAGCAGAGTAGCTCCAACCCATCTTCTTCATCCTGCTCACCCACTTGGCGTGCCCAGAGGTCAGAAGGTGGCCGGGTAGGAGACTACCTCTAGGCCTTGGACAGCAGAGGCAAGTCCAAGGCAGTAGGTTGAAGTTAGCAAGAAAGGTGTGGGGGTGATGAGGTGCGGAACTGACCACACAGCAGGGAACTATCAGAGGGCATCACATGGCGGGCAGCCTCCCCGCTTCCTGAACGGACGCAGATGGGGACCTCAGTGAGTTCTGGGGTCTGTGAGAAGCTGGTGGCCGGGAACCAAGAGCAAAGGCGCTGTTTTAAGGAAAGATGTGTTTGTGCGTGCTGCCCCCATGTGGCCACATGCATGCACTACAATTTCATCTCTACTGGCCCTAATTCTGAGGCAAGGCAAATCTTCAGAGACTGAGTTTTCAGAGGCTGTTGAATTCTTCAGCACTTTTTTGAAGCTCTAAAACCTAGCCTAGACTCACAGGATCACAGGTTTTTTAAAAATCAAACTATCATGAGAAATTCCTTAAGGTGGTCAATTCTGCCTTCAGGTGTTACTTACCTTTTCATGAGCAAATATTTTCTCTAGATCAAGACTTTTGCAATTAGATATTCCATTCAGATCTAATTACCCAAGATCAAGGCCTAAGTCAGCCGTTATATGCTTGCCAGTGGACCCCCTTCCATCCTTCCCCTTGAGGGTCTGCAGGGCACCAACTGTTGTTGAGCTTTGGGAGTCCCCCATGGCTCTTGTCTTCCCTCGGTGCCCCATGGCCATAACTCTCTAGGCCCTGGGATCCTTCCAAGCATCTTTCTTATGCATCTTTGTTTCCCTTCATCCCATCGTCACACCCTGGCTCATCGCTGTCTTTGTCACTTGTATGGCCTCTGCTGGAAAGGTCTTCCTTACCTGTCTCTTACCCCTGAACTGGGAGTCATGACTGGAGTTCATGAAAGTGCCTGAGGGGGTGCACTTTGGGGGTGGGACTGGAAATCACAGGAATGCATGAGATTGTCCAGCATGAGAGTAAAAGGAAGCAAGGAGCTTAAGGTCAGTGCAGCTCCCCCCAGGATTTCACCAACCCATTTTATTGGTCATTGGGGATCAGCTCCCCTTCATCCTCTCTGATACCACAGTTTGTTTGTCCCACTGTTTTAAGTGAAGGTGGCAGACTGGGATATTGCTTCCCACAGGTGAAGGGAAGAGGCACAGGCCAGTGGGTGGGCCGGTGAGAAGCTGGAAGTGAAACTCCTGGCTGTGAAGGGGAGAGGGAGGGACAGCAGTCGAAAGAGGGCTGTTTTGTGATTTGCGATGACAGCCAGAAGAGCAGGCCTCAATACAGGGGGAAGGAGCCAGTCAAACGGACAGCAGTCGCAGCCTTGGGCAAGTGAATCCATCTCTCTGTGCTTGTGCAGCTCACACTTCCACCTACAGTTTTGCTTTCTTAGTACCAGTTACCCATGGTCGACAACAGAAGGATGAGTGGAATACAGTAAGGTATTTGGGGGGAGGCATAACTCTCTCATATCTTTTATTTAGCATTTTATTATTTGTTTTATAATTGTTGCTGCTGTTCATCATCCCCTCCCCTTTTGAGAAAAGGGTCTTGCTATGTAATTCAGGCTGGCCCGGAACTCACTGTGTAGCCCAGGCTGGCCTTGCACTCATGGCAATCCTCCTACCTCAGCCTCCTGAGCGCTGGGATTACCGGCATTCGCCACCACGCTTGTCTTCTGCTGTTCATCTCTTACAGTGACTTTTTCCTAAATTTAACTTTATCATAGGTATTGTACAGGCAGGAAGGTCCGTACTATCTGAGGTTTCAGACATACACTGGGCGTCTTGGAAGTTATGCCCCTCAGGTAACAGGGGACAACTGTATTTCCTAATCTAGAAGATAAGAAGAATAAATACCATCTGCTCTACCTATTTCACAGGCATTGTGAAGCCCAAATTAAGTGATAGGTGTGAAAATATTATAGAAATGCTCTAGTTAACTAATTTTAGAAGTGATAGGAATTAAACAGGGTAGAATCAGTGGGAGAGATTACACACATACTTGCCATGCAGATTTAATTTGCTGTCTACAGATATAATTCCAATGTATGCGAAGAACTTTCATCTGTTATTTGCTTTAAACTCCAGTCATCACTGGTAGATGGAATGGTTCCTGCAGTATTTTGAGGAGAGGAAGAAGAGGCGTGGAGAGGGAAGTGACTGTCCACAGCCTCCCGGATAGTGAAGAGCAGAGCTGAATCTAAATCACTGATGGAATTTCATTTACATAACGTAAGCTTACTAGTAGGATAAATTTTACTCTAAAAGAATAGTATGGTTATAAATGTTTTGAACCAAGAAAAGAAAGACAAAGAAAAAACTTGTAGGTATAATACTAAATAATTAGTCTTCCCTCATTGAGGGATCTATTTGTAACTTAACCAGGTACTGCTAAATTCACTACATTAATCACAATGGAGGCCGAAATAAAGAACTTCAAGCCATGCCCTGAATTTGAAAAGGACCCTTTAGTCAACTCACAAAGGTGTCCCTTTCTCTTTTCTTCTCTCAATAATTTAGTCTCATTTTTAGTTGGGTACATGTTGCCCAAAATATGGACTCCATTTCCCAGTCTCCCTTGCAGGTGTGATGGTGTGATTAAGTGCTGGGTGGTGGTTGGCGGGTGGAAGCTGTGCTTGTGACCCCAGGAGAAGTCCTCGGGAGTGAGCACACTGTCCAGGACTTTCTCTCCTCCTCCACCTGACAGTGGAACCTGGGGCAGCCACCTTGGTCTATGATGCTGAGGACAGCCATGCTACACAATGGATGACGTCTGAGTCCCTGAGGCCATCCAGCCACCATCCTCACCCTGGACATGGCCTGGACCAGGAGAACTTTTACAGGGGAGAAGGAAACATTTAACTTACTGCATTTGGGCTCCTTCTGTTACAATAGCCTGCAGTGCATCTGTGATAGTTTGGTATAGTAAGAAACACATATTTGGTCATTGCCTGGCACTCCTGGCACACAGCTCTTAAAACCCTTGCAATCTCCAGAATGATGAGTGTCTTTGGTATGCTAGTGACACAACAGGTGACTGAGGCTGCTAAATAAATTCAGATGGGGGCTGTCTCCAGAAAGACTGAGGAAGGAGAAAATGCTAGGAAAGGAGAGGATGAAGGTGACTTGATCACCAGTGGCCAGTGGAATTCGCTAATGTAATCAGTGATGTCTGTGGAGTCTCCCTAAAAACTAAAAGTTTAGAGAGCTGGACATGTAGACGTAGCTGGTGGGGGGACATCCTAGAGAGGAATTGGAAGCTCCGTGACCCTCCTTGCACACCTGGAGTTATCCATCTCCTCCACCTGGCTGTTCATCTATGCCCTTTGTAATAGACTATGTGATGAAGTGTTTCCCTGAGCTCTCGGAGCTGCCCTGGCAAATTCATGGCACAAGAAGAGGGAGTCATGGGAACCCTGATTGATGGTCACCTATTGAGAAGCACAGGTCACAAGCTAGGACTTGTGACTGTCATCTGAAATGGGGGCAGCCTTGGGGGACAGAGCCTCTGAATCTGTGGACTATTTCTTTCCAGGTAGATAGTGTCAGAACTGAATGGTAATGGAGGGCACCAAGCTGGTGTCCTGCACCACAGAACTGGTTGAGGTGGGGAGAAACGTACACATCTAGGGTCAGAAGTGACTGTTGAGTGGTGTTGAAAGTAGAAGAAAGAAAAAAAATGTTTTTCTTTTTCCTTCAGAGCATCCTAATATATGACCATTTAGCCTGTTTTCTTCTAGATACACATTAATACAGAATCTCAAGGCCTTCATCCAGAAAATAAGATTTACTTATCATCTAGGTCCCTGGCAAGACTAGAAGTAATATGTACATGAACTACAGCCAGTGCTGTAGCACACAGGTGACAATTAATGGGGACTGTGGCCTGTCGCTGCAACTTATAAAAATGAGTTCATGAGCAGCAATGCCCCAAGGTTGCTTTAGAACATTTAAAATTTCACTTCATGTGCTCTCAGAAAAAATACGGAGGAGAAAGATGAAACAAAAACAGCAAATTGATAATGAATGACGGGCATGTTGGGGTTAACTATATTATTCTCTCTTAAATATTAAATGTATGTCTAATGTTAAAAAGTTAAAATAAATGAACAAAGTAAGATCTTCAGATTATGAGACTGACGCGCTGCCTACTGCGCTAAGGAGGCAAGTTAAATGAACAAAATAAGATCTTCCCATTGAGAAGTAAATGGGGGAGGGGTCGTGGACATCATCCAACAGTCATGATGTTAGGAAAAGTAAAGATATACGTAACTCATTCAGAAATTGATTTGGGTTCCTAAGAGGCCCAATGAGATAGAAAGACAGAAGTTTTGGGGGTGTTTTCTTCATTAAAGAACAGGAAGAACATGGCTCAGTGTCAGAATCCATATCCTTCTCACCACATTGGGCAATACCTCTGGGCCACCGTAGCTCCCTGGGTGGCTGCGGGACTGTGGCTTCAGGATGCTCCTGTAGCTGTGAGCAAGAGGAGCCTGCCCTGTTGTCCTGGTCAACCTGAGTCAGCTCTGTAACTTCTGCGACTTTGGTCTTCTTAGGTCTCAATCCCTTATCACCACCTGTGGGTGGGCTCACCTCATCCCCCACACCCAGGCGTAAGCTCTGACGCAACCCTGTGTGACTTATAGGAGCCAACACTGTTGACTTTGACAATTCTAGCAATCATTGCTCTCTGGTCCCTGCCCACAATGTGCTGAAAGCATCAACTAGGAAGCAGAGGCAGATTGCTTCAGGCAGAGGCATTGTTGGTAGAAGGAACCTCCAGAAAGCAAGGAGAGAAAGTGCCTAGCAAATACAAGAGCCCCCAGAACACAGACATCTGTGGCTACCAAGCAGAGACAAAGACCCCTACATACTTCATTAACTCTTGAGGGAGTCACTTCATTAGGGAAAGTCACCATTGTCTTATTTTGTGAAATCACAAAGAACACAAAGTTTATATTACGCATCCTTTATTTCAGAGGAAAAAGAACACAATATATTTCAGAGAATGTTCTATTCAAAATAATTGCAGTAAATTAATTGAGTGCTTAAAAATAAATTTCAGGAAGGTGAGAATCAGCTTCAATTTTGTTTTGTCCAGGTACCAAGGAGCATGTCTCTTCCAGAGCATTGGACCACTCTGCGCCTTTCGTAAGAGCAGCAGCCCTCTCTGACCTCCACTGTGGATGATCTAAATGAGGGGTCAAAAGCCCAAATGCTGGCAGAGACCAGGTGGGGAATGTGGGGCAAAGCTGGCTGGATAGGGACTGTGGCAAATTTGAGAACAAATGTCCTTCAAAGGGAAGCAGCTGCTGTTCTGCTTGGAAGTCTATTGCCATGCACGAAAGTAAGCTAGGTGTAGCCAGATCTTTTTTGAAAAGCAAAGGCAGAGCCAGGCATGGTGGTGCATGCCAATAATCCCAGCACACTGCATAGTGAGTTCTAGGCCTGCCTGAACTACATAGTGAGGCCCTGTCTCAAAAGACCGAAATAAATAAATAGAAGCAAAGGCAGACAATGACTTATCTGAAAAGGAAGTCATGAAGACAACTCCCTTTATAACAGCATCGAAAAGAACATACTTAGGAAATACTTAGGAATAAACTCAACCAAGGAGATGAAAGACTGGTACACTGAAAGCAACAAAACATTGCTAAAAGAAATGATAGAAGACATAAATAAATGGGAAGACACCCCATGTTTATGAATCAGAAGACTGAATATTGTTAAGAGGTCGATACTACCCAGAGAAATCTACAGATTTAATACAATGCTTATCAAAATCTTACCAGCACTTTATGTAGAAATAGAAAATGCCATCCTAAAATTCAGATGAAATATCAAGGGATCCCAAATAGTTGAAGCAACCTTAAAAAAGAAAAAAGCTGGAGGCCTCACAATGATCAATTTCGAAACTGTAAAGTGATAGTAATCAAAATGGTATGGTACTGGTATAAAGAGAGACACACAGACCAGTGGAATACTACAGAGCACTCAGAAATAAGCCCTTGTATATATGATCAGTGACTTTCAATGAAGGTGCCATGACCAGGCCACAAAGAAAGCATAGTCACTTCATCAAATGGTGTTGTGAAAACTAAAGTTTACAATGCAAAAGAGTTTGTGCATTTTCCTTGTACCACGTTAAAAATATAAATCAAGATAAATCAAAGACCTAAGTATAAGACCTAAATGATAAAGCTCTTATAAGAAGACATAGGGAAAACTCTTCATGACATTGGATTTGTTAGCAATTTTTTATATGATGCCAAAAGCACAGGCAATAAAAGTAAAAATGATAAATGGGACTTCATTGAATTTCAAAACTTATGCCCATCAAAGGACACAGTCAACAGGACGAAAAGTCAATCTGTGGAATCAGAGAAAATATTTTCAAGTCCTGCACCTCATAAGAGGTTACAACAACACAATTTTTCATGTGAAAAAATTGCAAAGGTAGAGACCTAAATTTTTATGTGAAATTTCCCAATTTGGAAACTTTAGCAATTGTCCTGAACCTATAGCTGCCTGCCTACCAACTATATCCCCCTCTTTGATAATAAAAATGCAAGAGCCCCAAATGTGTCTGGGTGACCACCCTTTATCTACCATGTGACTGGTCCAAGTTGATCTTGCTGTTCTTACTCCTCCTGTCAGTGATGAAGTTAGAGGAGGACATGCAACTCAGTTCTGATGAATACAGGGTGGGAACACTGCTAGAGAGTTTTAGGAAAGGTTCATTATTTGATGTTGGGTCATCACAGGATAAGATGCTTGTGAAGGAAGCTCTGATAACTGACTCCATTTTGTCTCTCTCTGACGTGTTTTTTTCTGATTGTTCTTTCTCTTGGTCTACCTTAAATTCCAGGATCACACGTCTGATGAATAAGCATCTTGCCACAGAAATCAACATGGCCCTCAGCAGTGGCAGCTTCCTCGGGGAAACTGTGTGAGGGGCTGGGGATATAGGTCAGTGGCACAGCACCTGCCTGGCAAGCACAAGGTCCTGAGTTAGATTCCCATGACCAAAAAACAAACAAAAAAGAAAGAAAAAGAAAAAAAGCCGGGCATGGTGGTACATGTCTGTAATCCCGGCACTTGGGAGGCTGAGGCAGGAGGATCATTGCAAGTTCAAGGCCAGCCTGGGCTACAAAGTGAGCTCAAGGCCACCCCTGAACTGCATAGCAAGACCTTGTCTCAAAAAGACAAAAAAAGACTATGTGATCAGTCCCAGGATAATGATCAACCAGATTATGACCTGCCCAGGATCTCCTACCTATATAACAAAGCCCCACAAGTCTTGCCTCAACGCTACTGTTGACAGCTTTAAGATGGCCCTTAGACTTGTCAACCTGTGTGGACCCACTGAAAATAAATCCCTTTCTTACACCACCATCACCCTTTTCCATTTGATTTTTTTGCGAGGGTGCAAAGCCAAACCAACTCTGTGGAGATCCCGAGAGTCAGGCCTCTGGCCTAAAATTCTAACACCTGGAGCTGCCACAGTCGTTTCCCAATCAGGAAAGCCGCGGGCAGACCAGAAAGACCAGAAGAGTCTGAGGCCACTGACATAACCAGCGGGAGCCTTTTTTTTTTTTTTAAATCTCCAGCCTTGCTATTATGTGAGGTAATCCATCCCCTTCCTGTTGATATTATTTTGAGTGTCAGGTATGTATTTGTAGCTTATAAGATCATAATCTCTACAGAGAAGTACAGAATGTATGAACCAAATAAAATGTCTGCAGTCAAATCTGACCAAGGGGCAGGGAGTTTACTATCCTGGGTATTTCTCTAGTCACTTGCACTAAGTACTGTTCCTTGAAGTTCTCTATTCTTCAGACCAACCAGGAGTCCCTCATTCTCGTTTCCATGGTTTAAGCCTTAGAGAAGGTCCACACCGTCATTCTGTTCCTCACCAAGAATCAGACTGCAGTGACTTCCTCATTGATTTCCTGTTTCTGAAATGCTATTTCCAGCCCTACAAACTGCCCTGTTCACTTACAGTTCTCCTTATCCCTGTAGTATTTTATCTGAAAGCTGCTTTGTCTGATAGTAACACACTACACTATTTTTCCTTTGATTAGTATTAGTGTACTGTATCGCTTTCAATCCTATCACTTCTATTTGTATGTTTATATGTAGAGTGGGTTCGTAGAAGGCAGGATATAATTAGGTCTTGCTTTATGCAATCAATCTCTGCCTTTTATCTGCAGCAGCCACTTTCTAGTTCACTGCTTTACAATGAAAGGAAAAAGGTCCTTCCTCCCTGTTAAGAGTTAAATTCATGTTGTTATTTGAGAAGGGGCCTTTGGAAGGTAATTAGGATTGGATGAGACAGCACAGGAGAGCCCCCATAATGACATTATGAAGAGGAAGAAAGACCCGAGCCGGCATGCTTGCTCTGTCTGGCCATGTGCCGTGCTCTGCCATGTTATAATGCAGTAAGGATGCCGGCACCAAACCAGTACCATGCTCTAAGACTTTTCACCTTCCAGAACTGTGAGCTAAATACTTACAAACCTCTATTCTTTAAAGATTATCCAGTCTCTGATACTCAGTTACAACAGCAGAAAACATACTAAGACATAAGACATTCCTTTTATCTCTGTACCTAAGAATTGTTTTTCTAACACAACTTTAAAAATTATCATTCCCTACATAAATTTGCATGATGATGGCAGGGAGTTCGGAAATCTGGCAGTGGCTGGCTTAGGGTATGTGATGGGGAATTTAAAGGTAGTAAAAATGTAAGCCTGGCCTAATCTGGTACTGCCTACATGACATAATGTCTATTCTACTCTAATCTTACTTATCTTTAAGGACAGGATGCCTAAAGGGTAGAAAGCCCTGTTTAGGTGGTCTAACTAAAATTGTTGGCTCTCACAGGCCTGGCTGTCAGAGTGACTGCTTGACAGCTTCTAACTTCATTGTAATACCATCTATAGGCTAATGACAGCCCCTCCAGCCCATGACAGTTACCAGTTGCCATGATGGAAAGGAAGGAAAAAAGGAAGGGAGGGAGGAAGGAAGGAGGAAGGGAAGGAAGGAAGGAAGGAAGGAGGGAGGGAAGGAAGGAAGGAAGGAAGGAAGTAAGTCAGGCGGAAAGGCAAGCAAATGAGTTAGCAAGCAAGCAAGTAGGCCCAGAGAGGTGGGACCCAAATTCCAGGAAGATCTCTGCCCTTTCCCAGAACATTCTTTCACTTTATCAGCCTGTCCCTCCCCTTCCTTCCTTTCTCCTAGGCCTTTGACATCTCCACCCCTAATGAAACTGATTCGTGAGATTTTCTCCTAACGTCTCCCATGCTTTGACCAAGAATAAACCTTGCCTTATTGCTCAGTTGGGGCTTGATCCTATCTATTGGTTCTGCAATTCCAAAAGGGGAAAAAGGACCACGTTTGGGGTCCAAATTGGTAACAACTTTCACACTAGTCTTTTATAGTAGTCTAACTAGTGTACAAAGGACCCTGAAATTTAATAAGCACTGCTGAATTATGTTCTTTCTACTAAAAGAAGCAAAAGTTGGTGACATGTTGGTTATAGTCACCAAGATTTCTTTTTCCTTATTTCCAGGTAAGTCTTAGTCACCCTCTTTCTATTATGTAAAGAATAAGACAATTTCAGAGTTTTTGATCTGTATAAACTTGAAGCAAACAGTTCTTTAAAATTGTTTTATTTTATGAAAAGACAAAATTCCTATGAAAATAAGAAAGTAACAAGTTAATACACTTTGTATCCTTATCTTCAAAGTAGTTACTCAGAGTACAAGACAGGAACCGAAAAATTCTTACAAAAAAGAAACAGGTAATGACACAAAACTTTTCAATGAACTAAGATAAATTAGTAGTACAAATGAAACAAATTAAGTATATTGAAATATTTTTGAAACAATGGAATATGTAATTTGGAGAAGTATTTGAACTTTTCCTTACTTCCTACTTATGTCTCTTCTGGTTTGCTTTTTGTGTGTGAGCACACGAACATATAGTGGAGGGGATATAGCTCAGTAGCACAGCACCTGCCTGGTAAGCATGAAGTAGTGAGTTTGATTCCTGGTACCAAAAAATAAAAAAAATGCATACATACAGTGGTACATGGGTTCATGAACCTAATTTATTCTATGATTTTGGGGAAGTTGGCTGTTTGTGTTTGTATGGGGAAGATGGCTAGAGTCATGTTTGTCATCTAATGTAGAGTTTGCATTTGTGAACCCAGGCATTATTATATATAGTTTGTGTGTGTGTTTTTCATATAAGAGAAATCAAGCAATATTTAAGCTTGTATGTCTGACTTATTTCACTTAACATTATGTTTTCAAGTTACATCCATTTACTTACGAGTTTATCTTCTTTTAGTTCTACCATTTTCTTTTATAGTTGAGGAAAAGAAGTCAGAAGAGTAGTACTGTACTAAGCCCCCAAACATGTCATTGACTAGTGCTAGTGCTACAGCTTAGAGTAGATCTCTTCCACATTTCCATGAATGCTGGAGAAACACACTGGGAGTGGTGGCATACACCTGTACTCCCAGCACTCAGGAGGCTGACAATTGCCACAAGTTAGAGGCCAGCATGGGTAACATAGTGAGTTCAAGCCCAGCCTAAGCTACCCAGTAAGAGACACCCTGTCTCAAAAAAAAAGGTGGAGAACCTCATTGGTTTAATGTTAACCTTTGTGTTGGAGGTTAAAAAATACACATATTAACAAGTATTCTTCATCTTTCTTTTGACTTATGGTCTCATTCGGCATCTGTGGTAAAACACCAGCAGAAGAAAATCTGTTAAGAACAGATAGCAATACAAACCACCTCACCAAAAAAAGGGGACACATGTAAAAAACAATGGAAGAAAATGAGACCAGAGACAAGATCTTCCACAGAGGTTCCTGGAACACAGAGTTTATCAGTTCTACGTGTGGCATTTTTGGATATTGCTGTTAAGATTAATTTTTGAACCAGTAACCCTAACTGGAGACCTGACAACTTGTTGAGTAGGTAAATCTAGAATGAGGTGTCCCAAACTTTAGTGTATATGAGAACCACGTGGAAATGCAGGTTCCTGGGCATCTCCTCCAAAAGGTGAGTAGATAAACTGGGCCCAGGAATCTCTTTTTTGGGCAGTAATGGGGATAGAACCTGGGGCCTTTATACTAAACTATACCCTGGTCCTTTTCTCCCCTTTTTAAAATTTTGAGACAGGGTATCAGTAAATCTGGATAAATTGCTGGGTTCCAATTTGTGATCCTTCTGCCTTCGTTTCCCAGACTGCTGGGATTACAAACGTGTATCACCATGCACAATGGATAGTGGAATCTGCATTTAGAAGGTTCCCGAGGAAGCTGGGCATGCATCTGTAATTCCAGCACTTGAGAGGCTGAGGTGGGAGGATGACCATGGGTTTGAGGGCAGCTTAGGGTACAAAGCCTACCTAGACTATATAGTGAGACTCTGAGAAAGGAAAGAAGGAAAGAAAAAAAAAAGAAAAGAAAGAAGGAAAGTCTTATGGCTTGTGTCTAGATGTTCCCCTAAAGCCTCATGTACTCACAGCTGGGGCTTTTCAGAGGTGGCAGGATCTAGATAGAGTGTGTGATGCTGGGATCAAGAGTGTGTGATTACTAAATTAGTCCACTGACTGATTTGGCATGGCTCTGGGAGTGGATAATGGGAAGACCTTCCCTGGGTGTGAGTGCTACCCACCCTAAGGGAAGGTAGCCTGGACAGAATATAAGGGACAGAAAGAGGGCTGCTGGGGTTGTTTATCACTGCTTGCTATTTGGCTGCTTTGCTGCCTTTCACAAACTGTTTCTTCTCTGTATACCCCTCTGCCATGCCACCCTGCCTTGGAGCCAGCCAACTACGAACTGAAACCACTACCAAGTACAAGCCAAAGTGAACTGTTCCTCCTTTAACTTTGGGTGTTGGGTATTTTGTCTCAGCAATGAGAACAATAACAAAAAAACAAAAAAAAGAAGAAGAAGAAGAAAGAAAAGAAAGAGAGAAGAAACTTCCCCAGGTGACTGTGGGAGGGGCATGAATTACATACAAGAAACACTGAAAGCTGTAAGAATTAGTGATACTCATCTTCGAAAGAAGGACTATTCTGAAGAAAGAAGGTGTAAAGAACTGTGAAGGCTCTGAGATTTTACCCTACTTGCAAGTCAACAAGGTAGCAGGCTGCAGATTCATAGATGCTGGTAGAAGACATGAGACTGCTGGGTCAGAGAACGAAGGCCAATTTATTGCTAATGATAGTCACGGCATTCGGGGAGCCAGGTTCCTGAGCCTCATTTCCTACAAGTCTGTAAGATGAGTGATACCACAGGTTGCTCTAGAAGAGAGAAACCGAGAGTTTAGGAAACCAGGATGTTAAACGGGGAGTAAGTCCACTAGACCTTTGCCTGGAGGGAGACTATTTCTACCTTCCAAAGGTGTTCGCCACAGAAACATCAAAAAAAAAAAAAAAAAAAAAGAAAAGAAAAAAAAAGGTGTCAGGAAAAGACACGCAGGAGCGTGATACACAAGTCGTCTGGCAGCAGAGACCAGGACTGGAGGCGCGTCAAGCGAAAGGTGTCTTACATCTGAAGGCTGTAAAATAATCCCAGTGAAGCAGCGATGGAGAGTTGGAGAGATTCTGCTCGTCATCGATGGCAAGAGTTGTGTGGTTCCTCGTTCCCCGAGCTCACTTTGCTTAAATCCTTAATCCCTGTTTCTAAGGGGTCCTGCCTGATTTCATGGGCACTTTCCTATTTCTTTCACTTTAATCTTCAATATATCATGGAGACAGGAGAGATTACAGCCATTTTACTCACGAGGAACAGGGTCGTGAGACTGTGAGTCATCATCACCCCAGGCCAAGAACCAGTGCCTGTCACTACCCTCTTTCCTCGAGTGTTTTTCCCCGAGGCCGGGATCAGAGCGACCAAAACAAGTAAAGGAAGGCTACAGAGGGGACGCGTCACTAAGAAACCACTACTAGCTCTACGGGGTGAGGTCACTAACGGTGTCTTAAGAACGCGTCACTACCTCGGAACTGGGAGGCTGACTCCCGCTTTTTCCCACCTCGTAGGCCTGAAATCTCCAGGGACTGGTTAAGGAAGGGGTTCCTAGACTTCCCTTCCCACTACAAGGCGTAACAGCTGTCTGGCGCTACCCTAACCCTCCAGCGCACCTGGGAAGAGTCTGCCGTGCTTACGTCACGGAAGTGGGGCGGAACAGCTCCAGCACGCCCCTCGCGATTGGCCAGCGCTGCCGTCGCTCAGCGGTCCGACCGGAAGGGGTTAGGCGACGCCCTGCTCTCCGCTTCTAACCGCCAAAAGGGTGGGAGGGGCCGGCGTGAAAGTTGCCGGAACCCGCCTTGGAAGCGATGGAGTTGAGTCCGGTCTCGTTGTCTGGGCCTTCTAGCTCTTTCAAGGAAGAGCTTCTATGCGCCGTCTGCTTCGACCCGTTCCGCGACGCGGTGACGCTGCAGTGTGGCCACAACTTCTGCCGCGGGTGCGTGAGCCGCTGCTGGGAGGTGCAGACGGCGCCCTCCTGCCCGGTGTGCAAGGCCCGCGCGTCGCCCGGCGACCTGCGCACCAACCACACCCTCAACAACCTGGTGGAGAAGCTGCTGCGCGAGGAGGCCGAGGGCGCGCGCCGCGCCGGCCACCGCTCCCCGCGCCTCTGCCGCCCGCATCGCGGCCAGCTCGGCTTCTTCTGCCTGGAGGACAAGGAGCTGCTGTGCTGCCTGTGCCAGGCCGACCCCCGGCACCAGGGCCACCGCGTGCAGCCGGTGAAGGACACTGCCCACGACTTCCGGGTAAGACGCCCCGCGCCAGCCGCCCGGCACGCTCCGGGGGCCGAAGCCGGACGGACGGCCCAGCTTCCTGGGGCCCCCGGGACCCCGCCTGTGCGATCTGGGTCCCTACAGCGGTGGGAGAAGAGACGTAGACCGAAGGGAGGGCGGGGGCTCCTCGGCCTCCCCGGCAGCCCCGGCTCCTGGGGGCCCAGCCTGGCACCCCTTTTGCCGATGGCCTGTGGCCCGGGTCCCTGTGAGCAGCACACGTGTGGGTGACGCACGCGGACCCTCGAGCTGGACACACTCAGCTTACAGTGGAGCAGGAGCCCAGCGCCTGGCCTGGATCCGGAGCCTTACGATTTCCCCAGCACAGTCGTCACCTTCCCGAAGTGGCACCGCGGTTTTGTGGCGGTGGGGCGAGGCCCCTGGCCCTAGCCAGCTGGTTTATTCTGGATCACTCCTTGAGCATTCTGATGCCTGGAGTTCCAGTGGTGTAAATAAGGCAAGGAGCAGCTTACAGAGCGAAAGTAACGTTTGGAGAAGTCTTTGTTGTAGGAAGGAAAAACGATCAGAAAGTAAGGGTTCAGCTGCCTCAGAATTTTTTAAAACACTTGACTTTAGCCCTTAGAAATACTATTGTATTCTGGCAGTTTTTGTTACTAAATTTTTAAAATAATGATACTGTCTTAGTTTCTTTTCTCTTGTTGCTGGGAGAAAATACCCAACACCCCAAATTAAGGAAGGGAAAGTTTATTTAGCTTACTGTTTGTGGAAGTTTCAGTCTGTAATCAGATGGCTGCAAGGCAGGGTGACATGGCACAGGGGCAGCATTTCAAGGAGGCAGAAGACAACAAAGCAACAGAACAAAAAAGGTGGAGGAAGCAAGACTCTTTTCCTCCCTTACATTTTTTTTTTTTTGGTACCAGGAATCGAACTCAGGACCTCGCGCTTGCCAGGCTGGCACTTGTGCCACTGAGCTATATCCCTGCCCCTCCTCTCTTACATTGTATGCTGGCTACCCACCCACTCTTCCACAAGCTGGGGATGCCTACAGAGTAAGGACCCTGGCCCCCTGCTGACTTCAAAGTCCTAAACTTCTCAAGTTGACACAATGTGTCAACCATTACAAGTGTGAAATACTAAATTTATTAATCGCCTACTATTATATAGGTCAAACCCACAGTTTGGAGAACAGCTGGTTAGCTTCCAGGAAACCAAGTTTATTGAAAGAGAGGTACTTCAAGAAACCTGGCAAACATGGCCTCCACGATTCCCCCTCCTCTCTTGTTACACTGCTTTTGTAAGCGATGTCAAATTGTTGACAGTTTCATACATGTTTTGACACAGTTCAAGTAAAGGGGCATGTAGGGGTGCTATCACTATGCGTGATTGAATGAGTATGCCTATTACTCCTGCCACCATATTTGCTTAATAGTGGTCCACAGCAATGGTTTCCCATATCCACTGGCTGAAATGCTAGGTCTTGATGTCAGAAGGCTGAAGTAGTGGGTAGCCTGGGGACTGGCGTGCTGGTGGGGGAATGGATTGGCTAAGTCAGATGAGGAGATGGACAGGAAACAAGCAGGAAACATTCAGGCAGAGGACCAAAGTTGGGACCTGGCCCGAATTCAAGAGCCCTAAAGCACACAATCTAGAGACAGCCTCCTGTTAATCAGTAGATAGCTTATACAGCTAGGTCCCAGGGTGTTATGGCTTATATCTGGATATTCCCTGAAAACCTCATGTGCTCATAGGTGGGGCTTTTCAGAGCTGGCTGGATCCTGGGGTATGAGATACTGGGATTAAGCGTGTGTGATACTAAATTAGTGTACTGATTGGAATTACTTTAACGGAAGCTTCATCTTAGGTATGGGTAGCACCAAACAATAGGCTTATAGCCTGGATGAAATATAAAGGGACAGAAAGAAGGCAGTAGTTCACTGCTTGCTGCCTTCTGCCTGCCACGCTGTGAGCTGTTTCTCTTCTGCAGTGCTCCTCTGCCGTGCCACCTTGCCTTGGAGCCAGCCATTTATGAACTGAAACCTCCACAGACTATGAATTGAAATAAACCTTCCCTCCTTTAACTTGTCAGTATTTTGTTTCAGCAATGAGAAAAGTAAAACAAAACCAGTACTTAAGAACATGAGACAGACAACAGTTTTCACCCTCAGGGAGTTTGCAGAAGAACCTGAGGGAAGTGGAGGTGTTAGGTGACTAGGGTGAGGGAAGGCGCTTCAGGAAGAGACAGCAGCATATGCAAGTGTGGAGAAGTGGGACACCTGACTGTCCCGATAATTTCAGAGTAGTCAGAATGATAATGGAGATGCAGGCTCAGATTTTACCCTTCAGCTTAGAGAGCTCAGGGACCAGCCACAGGGTTTTGCTGCCAGATCAGTGGGCACTCAGGGTTGTGGCTGAGAGGCAGGGAGTGGTCTAGTCCTGGATCTGAGGAGTGTGCAAGCTGAGTGTAATCAACTTGGTGTAGAGTGTGGCTTGCTCATTTACCAGACAGCCATGGTCTGAGGGCCCTTCATGTTCCATGACCTGCTTGGGGATTGAGGCTACCCAGGTCCTTCAGTCAGAGCCCCTTGCCTTGGAATTTCACATTTCAGAGGGGAAGTCAGAGTCAAAAGACAGGTTGCAGCATGTGGTGGTCATGGGAGAAGCAATGTGGGAATGCTCTCCCCACCTCCAGATGAGAACAGCCTGAGTCAGAAACTGCCCTATTGGCTACGGGGAGCTCTGAAAGTTTCTCAGAGATGACTTCGTGAAAAGATACGTTTTTTTTTTTTTTTTTTTTAAATCATTTTATCCCAAGTTTGAGGCCAGTCTGATTATCAGAACTAATAATCACATGGGCTAATACTTTTTGAGTACTTAGTTTGTGCTAGGTGTTCTTAAGTATTTATATGTTAAAAAAATTTAATGTTCACAAAATCCTAATACTATATGTTCCTATTACTGTTGTGATAAATTGGCACAAACACAGTGGTTTAAAATAGCACAGATTTATTATAGTTCTGAGGTTAAAATTCCCGAATTCCAGGTATTGACAGGGCTGTATTCCTTCTGGAGGTTCTAGAGAAGAGCATATGTCTTTGCCTCCTCCAGCTTTTGGAGGCCCTCTGCTCCATCTTTAAAGTGCATTATTCCAACTTCTGCTTCTATTGTCACAAATTGCCTTCTTCAGCTGATTCTGCTAGATCCTTTTTATAAAGCCCCTTATAATTACATTGGGCCCAAACAGGTAATCCAGAGTACACACATCAGGATCCTTAATTTAATAATATACAAAGACGTTTTTGCCACATAGAGTAATATATTCATAGTCTACATCTATGGGAGAAACATTGTTCAGCTTGCTACAGGTAGGTACTGTTATCCTCATTTTACTGTATAGTGTTATACAGGGTAATGATACTGAGTTGCAGAGAGTAATGGGTCCCAAATTTTAGAGCAAGTAGCTATAGTCTTCACCAGGGTGTTGTTCAGCTCCTACTCTGGTCATAGGCTTTGGGAGCCGCTTCTCTCATCCCTGCTGGTTCCCTGCTTTCAGAGCTCTATGGGAAGTTGGCTTTGTAGATGTTCAGAGGTCTGGGTGGCTATTGGCCACTGTCAGTGGGATGAAGCAGGTGGATTGAGCAACTGCTATGTGCATTGTGTGTCCAGTAAAGGACAGAACAGCCCCAGACATTGCCTTGGTGGAGTCCAGTAGGCACACTAATAATTTGGAGATTTTAAGCCAACATTTTTATGAAGGATGGTATAAGATGTGATGAGATACTGTAAGAGGAAGACCTGCTCCTGTCTGGTGAGACATAGAAAAAAAGTCAGGAGCTGATTTCACAGACACTAAAGGCTCAAAGAAGTAAGTGAGGGACAGCGAACAGTGATGGTAGGGTGTAGGGCTGGGGACCAATAACTCAAGAATGTTCTGGAAGGAATGAGGAAGTCCAGGCCACATTCTGCAGGGCACCAAAGGGCATGTTAGGGAGTTGAGGTATTGTCCTAAGTGCAGTAAACATAATGGATGGACCAATGAGATTTTAAAACATGACAAATAAGTATTTAAAATAGAGCTCTAGGAAGAATATTGATGCTAGGAAGGACCTTATAAAGACCTTCAGTGCAGTGTTTCTACACTGTAACAAGGGTCACAGTCTTAAAAGTACTCTAGCAGTGTGGCTTAAACATGTTATTACTTACATGTACACAAACACAGAGCTGCTATCAATTCTTGCCTATATCACATATATGCAATTAAACCCAAAAAAGTTGATGGCTTAAATCCAAGCAAAACTAAAGTCAATACAATTCCAGTTAAAATCTGATTTGCAGGGTTTTATTGTGCTGAAGAGAAATCTCTGCTCTTGGCCAAGATCCTTTTGATTAATTCTGTCTTTGTTCTGTTGCAAGTGATGACTTGCCAACCATTTCTGTTTGAAGAGCTCTGAAACTCAGGTGATCTGCCTGGCCTACATTTGGCTCCAGCACATCCTCCTGTGCTGAGTGTATTTCTGTTTTCTCTTGGTGTCTTGTTCCCTTTCCTTGTCTTTGAGACACAATACCCAATACCTGCATCTTTAAGAAATAGTTTCATTTTGGTTCATGTTTATGTGGTCAGCTGGTTTCAAGGCAGGACCATGTGGCAGAAGGGGGCATAGCAGATGAGAAACCGCTGATGTCATGGCTATAGGGAAGCAGAAGGGGAGGATCTGGGAGAGAGATAAACTCTTCCAGACCACATCTCCTGTGACTCATCCCCCCACCCCCCAACAGCAAGTCAGCTATAAGCCCCATAATCTGGTCACTTTCCAAAGGCCCCACCCATGAATGCCAGAGGCTCTTGGAGGACATTTAGATAAAGAAACATAACATTCTGCCCCTGGTCCCAAAAGACGCACGTGCATACCTTTATGCAAAATTTATTCCATCTCTAAGAGTTGCCAAAATCCTAACAGTTTCAGCATTGCTGAAAAGTGCAAGTGCAAAATCTCCTGAAACATAAGGCAAACTCTTAGCTGTCAACCCCTATAAAATCAAAAAAGTTAAACACTGCTAACTTAAAATGGCACAGGGTACACATTCCCTTTCTAAAAGAGAAGAGTAAGGGGTTATAAACCAGTGGGACCAAAGTATGACCAAAGGTCTGCAGTGTGAACATTAATTCTTGTAGGTCTATGTCCAGCACCCAGGGCAAGTTGTGACATATAAATTCCAGAGGGCTTGGGCAGCTCATCACTACACTGCTGATGGTTGTAGTGCTCATGGCATCACTCTTGGCCGGGCTTTGGTTACTCCTTGTGGCTTTCCTCAGATGTTCCACATTCCTGACTTCTCCAGCTTCCGGGGGTCTCTACTGAACTTTTAGTTTTCCTCTCACAACTTCATGCACTGCCCTGTTAGGGGCACATTACTTGGCTTCGCAGCCCTTCTGAAATCCATGTGGAATCCTCTCTGACCTCACATCTCATGCATTCTGCATGCCTGTAAAACCAACACCATGTGGATGGGGCCAGGGTCTGCCACTGACTCCAGCAGTAACCAGGTGCTTTTGCATCATGACTGCAGGGGCCTCTGAGTGCCTGGAGAGCTGAGCACTGTGAACTCAATCCCAGGAAGCCTATTTGCTGTTCAGCCTTTCTTCAGGATTCCCTGGGGCTCTTTTCTTTAAAAAAAAAAAAAGCTTTCACTTTTTTACCTTTGAGTCTTCAAAGAGTGAGATCTTTGGGGTTCCTCAAATGCCCTCAAGGCATTCTCTGTAAAATCCCTGTAAAATATTTGATTTCTTTTTAGTGCTCATCTTTTCAGCAATGAACCTCTCCTGTGTTCCAAATTTGCAGGGACTTCTTTCTGGTGAAACTCAAACTTTTAAAATCACCCAGTGGTGCCATTTGTTCTTGATTCTCAATGTAGAGCTGCCTAAAGGCCTCAGCAATATCCATGTTGCAGCCTGAATGTTTGGCTGCCTTGAAATTTCCTCTGCCAGATAAATTAGTTCACTGCCCTTAATTTTAATCTCCTGAAAAGTTTCAGAACATGAATAAAATATAGACAAATTTTCTGCCACAGCATAACACACATGGCTTATAGTCTGCCCGTGCAATCCTTGTTCCCAACAGAAACTGCTTGAACTGATCTTCACCTTCTGCCTTTTTATCACCTTTCTCATCTTGTGAGCTCTGACCAGAATCTCCCCTTAATCTCAACGTACAGCATTCTAGGGCTTCTCTAGCCAGCATCTGCAAACTCTTCCAAAATCTTCCTCTGAGCAATAACAAGAGCTTCTGAACCACATGGTCAGGTAACCTCACAGCAACACCACCACTTTTCTGGCATCAGAATCTTAGTCACTTTCTTCATTGCTGGGATAAAATACCCAACACTGACAATTTAAGGAGGAAAGGCTTATTGTGGCTGTTTTTAGGTGTTTCAATCCACAGTCCTTTGACATCAAGGCAGGAAAGCATGGCACAGGGGCGTGTTGATAGGGAAGCAGAGAGAACGAAGAGAGGGGCTAGGGAGGAAGATAATCCCTTCTAGGTCATGTCGTCAGTGATCCATCTCTTTTCCCCTAGGCCCCACTCCTAAGAGCAAGTCAGCTATAAGCCCCATAATCCAGTCATCTTCCAAAAGTGGGTATCTCCCACCTATGAGTACATGTGGCTCTTGGGGGACATCTAGATACAAACCATAACACATTGATAGTCCAAGACCATAGAAGTAATGTAGCTTGGTGTCCAGTAAGCTGTTAACAAATCTGTGGGTACTGGTGCTAAAATTGGGGGAAATGAAAGCATGTATCAACTGCTTATTAGGTGATTCGGAATTGGTTTTTGTTACTGTGTTCTTAGGTCATCATTGAATAGAAATACTAATTTAAAACACTCCAAAATACACAGACCAAACTCACAGGGGACTGTGTGGAGACAGTTGTATTTTACTTATAAAAAAATGGAAACTTGGAGAAATACAGCCACTCATTGAAGGAGAAATGGAGTTACTTGTTGTAGGACAGGAAGTTGAAGGGTAGTGTTCTCAGATCGGAAGTCAGATTTCTTTGCATCTTCCACAGCAGACCTTCCTGAAACCCCTCCCAAGTCGCAGGCCTCTGAACTGCCTTATCCAGATCCCTTTCTTATCTGTCTCACAGATAAGATGATGGCCATTTCCTGGTTCTTGGCCCTTCGTGATGCAGATCATCACCCCCTGCTGGGGTTACCTTCTTAGAATCAGTCTGAATAAATCATACCTAAGGGTGTTCTTCTTGCCTTGTAAGGCACACAGAGTCTTCATGGTGCATAGAAGACCATGGAGACATGGCCTGATGGTGTTGGCCAAAGAGCCTCAATCCTTGAGCAGTCACCCTCAGTTAGAATCAGTCTGGCAGAATGGTTACTCTGTGATCACCACGTGGCAGCTGACTTCCATTCAAGCAGTCCAGCAACGAAGAGCAAGGCTAGGTGTATATGGTGTTTTGTCACCTTATCTCAGAAGTGACATAACCACGTTCCGTTGGTTAAACACAAGTCCTTAAACCCAGCCCACAGGAAAGGATACTGGAGCCATTTGAGAGGCTCTGCACTTCGTTCTGCCCCAGGCCACCAGTGATTCACATCTCCATCAGCAAAATGCCCTCCTACTCCCCAGGATCACTAAACATCTCATGCTGTTGCAGTACCCTCGAAGAGTCCAGGCTCATAATCCAAGTCAGGTCCAGGTGAGGATGAGGCTTTGGAGGATAACCATATTGTCTAGCTGCAACATTTGGCAGTTTAAACAACGGTCTCATCCCTGCAGCCACTCACACAACTTGGGCTCATATGCCAGTTCTGGGGGTCAGCGGTGTCCCTTTTTTCTGTTTCACATTTCCATCTAAAAGGTAGGGCAGACATTACTTCACAAATAATGTGACATAATTTAAGAACCCAACTAGCATGGTTCCTGGCACTGAGTAAGTGCTGGTAGTCATATAATTAATGTTACTAGAGTCATTTTTATCATTTTTCCAAAGAAAAACCTCAAAAAGCTTCTTAGAATATAGAAAGTGCTGGGCATGGTGATACATACCTATGATCCCAGGCATGGGAGGCCGAAGCAGGAGGATCGCTGTGAATTTGAGGCCAGCTTGAACCTATGTAGTGAAATCATGTCTCAAAAAAAATGTTTCAGACATACGTGTGTGTGTGTGTGTGTGTGTGTGTGTGTAAGCAAGTGAGAGAGAAAGAAAGGGAGAGAAGGATAATGATAGACCTCAGGTACAAAAGGTGGGAAATCAACCTAAAACTCATAGTGGCTCTTTAGGAAGTCCGACTCAACAGTTAAAATTTTAAAAAACAAAAGCTGCTAACCAACGTTTGGATGTGATGATTAAGCAATATTAGAAGGCAGGAGAGAGTGGGAGTAGGGCGGGGCACGTTTAGAGGCAGCCTCAGTGAATATCTTCACTTCGTGGTAAATGACTGAATCAGCTCCTGTTGTCAGACCTACGCATTATGACCGCAGACCATTGTGGTTCGAAGAACTGCAAAGGAAGCCCGTGGCCATGTTGTCTCCATAGGCGCCCCATAGCGCAGGGACTCAGGGCACAGCCTGGGCTAGCCGTAGGCCTCAGCAGCATGCCCTTCTCAGCTGGACCTGTGACCAGCCTGTCAGACCAGGCCCCTTTACCTCCTCAGCCCTCTCTCCCTGCATCACCTATACCCACAAACAACAGGGCGCTGGATTAGAGGACACCCAATGGGCCCTTTATGCTATTAAATAAAGGGCCGGTCCAAAGCCAGAACTGCAGTTACCATTCAGCTATGCTGCAGAGCTTGGCATAGTAAATGCGGTTGTTACGTTCATGTCAGAGTGGAATTACAGCTGTAAATGTGTGTTGCCCTCCCTGCATGGCCTCCAGCCCTGACTTGCCTGCCTCCTTCTTCTCCTGGCAGGCCAAGTGTAAGAACCTGGAACACATGCTGCGGGAGAAAGCCAAGGCTTTCTGGGCCATGCGGCGTTCCTATGAGAACATTGCCAAGCACAATCAGGTGAGTAGGGGCTCGGGCTGAGAGGGGAGGGGGGACAACCAGGGAAGTCAGGGAGAAGCGAGCAGGGTTGGCCCTGGCTTTGACCGATGCCACCCACAGGGGGGCTTTTGACTCAGAGTCGGCCTTCCTTAGTGCCGATGGCCTTGTAGAGCCAAACTGTTGGGTACTGGCTGGGCTTCTCAGCCTGTCTAAGGACCTGGGCGTGGTCACTCCAGCAGCCACAGGTGTGGCCTGAAAAGCCACCTATGCTGTCTGTACTGTGACTTAAGCATAACCTGGTTATGGGCATATCACCGTGTACTTGTGTTTAGGCCGATAATGACCTGGGACTCCTTAGTGGTTCCTGATTTCCTTTTGGTTTCCATGTCCCTTGTATGAACAGTCCTGTCTCACCTTCAAAGCACACCAGGTCAGAACTGCACTGCTCACCTGGCCTCCTTCCTGCTTTCCCTGCACTGGAGTGATTTTCTGGAAAAACACACCATCATTCTACTCCGGCTGCCCTGGCCTCTCTGTTTCTTAAACTAGGCAAGTCTGTTCCCTGGGTCCTGTCCATAGCATCTTTGCCATTAAAATCTCAGCTCCCCTGTCCCTCCTGAGAAGCATTCCCCGATTACCCTAAAAGAGCCCTTTCCTTTCACTTGGTGTCATGTCTCCTTGGTGTGTGTTCCCCAAGACATTTCATTACCTTTTTGATCTTCTCTCTTCTGACTATAAAGAGCAGGCACATAGTTTATTCCCAGTATCTTGAAGTTCTTGGCACACAGTAAGTGGCCAATAATAAACTTGTGGCTCTGGGTGAACTCCATGGACAGATGCTAATAAGGCTTTTTCCAAGCCCAGTGGTTGACTTTGGGCGTATAGGCACAGGAGGGTACAACCCAGGGCAGCACTGAGCAGCCTGAAGCAGGTGTGTCAGCCTTGGCTGGGACCAGCTGGGCAGTGATTACTAGCAGCAGTCACCTCAGGAAGTACCAGACCAGAGCCAGGGACGTACTCAGAAACAAGCTTGCTTCCAGCTGGAGGGCCAGAGCAGGGAGAGGTCCCCACGGAAGATCTACTTTCAAATCTAAGCCTGTCTTCAGACGACCTCTACCAAACTAATCCTCAAAAGGAAAAGAGGACAGTTCGTTTTTACTGCAGTTGTTTAAACATTCAAATAATACATAGAGGCATCCAACAGAGAGAAGCCATCCAACATTTCTGGTGTCTCAGAGACCAACAAACTGACTTAAGGAATTTGCACTTTTTCAGTAAATTATTTTGCCGAGATAGTTCAGACCTATAAACATATACTGAAGTTCTATCCAAGAATGAGATTACCACCCTGCATTTCTGGAGGTCAACTTTAGAGTTGTTTTGCTGGTCATTGTGATGGAGTCATGGGGTTTCATATCTGCCTTTTGACTTCATCTCTTCTGTGGCCAAATCTGTGATCTCTTCTTGACTGGCTTGCTGTGGACAGGTTGGACTGGGGGTACAGGGGGGGTCTGTTATCTGCCCAACCCAGGCAGTGGACGTCTCTGAGGCTTTGTGTAGAGAGGCATGAAGCCTCTAGAATTCCAGCTTGATTGTTGCTTTTCCTGTCGAAGTCCATGAATCCAAGCTGATGGTAAAGTGTGTGGCTCAGTATTTAGCCCTTTACTGTGAGGCTCTCGTGACCAGTGGTGACAGAGGCTGGAGTTGCCCTGACACTTGCTCAGTCTTCCTACCTCACCCTGTTCTTTTGCGTCCTGAGATAGAATCATCTGAAATTCCCCTCTGTCTGCCACATATGTCACCAGTCCTTTTAGCTTGAAGTTTCGGCATATTATCTGTTCTCGTTTGCATTTCTTTGCTAATTGGTAAGTTCGTACATCTTTTCACAGCACAGTAAGTCCCCAGCTTACATTCGAGTTGCAAACTTTCACAGCTACAAATGGAGCTCACATTGTGACATTCATAGATGCAGATAAATTGTGGAAATAGCTCACGTGTCTACTGGACATTGTCACAGTTGTACCGCTGTGTGCTCCCTGTACAGTGTGACAGTGTATAGTACAGCGCTAATCAGAGCCCAGGAGCCCCGAAGCAAGAGGAACAGCTGTGGTGATGTGGAGGGGGCTGCTTGGAAGCCCAAAGCAATATATATATATATATTGTATATTTGTGGCAAAGGTGTGTAAGACTCACTTGTTGGACTTAGGAGTGAACCTGACTTACGAACATCCTCCTGGAAAGGAACTCCTCTATAACCGGGGACTTACTGTACCACTTTCTCAGTGAATGCCAGTTCATGCCCCCCTCGCCTTTGTGGGTGCTGGAGATTGAACCAGGGCTTCGTGCATGCTGGGCAGGTGCTTTACCACTGAGCTGTACCCCCAGCCCTAATTTATGTTCCTTTTTATTCTTGGAGTAGTTGTCTTTTTTTCTAGTGGATTTGTACAAACGCTTGTTCATCAAATAAGTTTGTTGCAATTTTTCCTAGTTTGTCATTTCTTTTTCCCTGAGCTGTTGTTACTTTTTTTTTTTTTTTAGCTTATTTTCACTTTTTCAGTGAATCCTTTCATCATCTTTTCAGAACTATGTGTATATTGTACTTTTAGTCCCAAAAATGAGATTATAATTTGCCATAGCTGAGCCCATATTTGAAATTGATTTTCTGATAGTTGTCTTAGAGTTATGTGTATATGTTTAGCTTTATTAATAGTCTTTCCATACAGACTTCATGATGTTATGGTTATATGCAGTTATCTCAGTCTTTCAGCCTTCTCAGTTTCATATACCAAGAAATGTCTCTTTTATTCTCAGATAAGAAATAGTTGCTTTTTCTCAGTATGTTTTTGTCCTCAACTTCTGTCTTCTTGTGGTTATGATTTGGAGTGTGCATGTTAAATTAAATACTTCCTATTGTTTTAGAAAAGTCTTTGGACCAGACAAATTAAAGTCCTAAAATCTGTAGGTAAATAATTTTTAAAAATTGTGCTTGTATGGCCATGATGGTGCATATCTGTAATTCCAGCACTCTGGGAGGCTGAGGCAAGAGGATCACAAGTTTGGGCCCAGACTGGGTAACTTAGCAATGTAGAGAGACCCTGAGTCAGAAAAAAAAAAATAAAAGCAGGCTGGGGGTGTAGCTCAGTGAGAAGACCCTGGTCCAATCCCTATTACCACACGAAAAAAACCCAAAAAACAAAAAACTGTTATTTGCAAGAAACTGGTGTGGTGGCATACACCTATAATCCCAGCAGGATTGCAAATTTGAGGCCAGTTCAAGGCCAGTGAGACCCAGTCTGAAAAACCAGAACAACAATATTACTTTTGTGATAATTCATTTCTGTGATTCAGGAATTTTCTTGATGTTGTGCAACCAAAGACGATATAGAACATTCTATGTTGAAGAGGTGATCGGATTAATGGTGTCTTCTATAGGCAGTGATTTCGTTTTTCTAAACTTCATCAAAACAACTCTTTAACTTTCTCATTTGAAACTTAAATTGCATGCTCGTCAAATATTACATTGTTGTTTTATCTCTAGAGATTCTACATAGGATTCCTTTAGCACATAGAGTTCTGACTGCAGTCTGCTGGTCACTGGCTGGGGAGTAGCTGAGAATCCCATATGTAAGCTTCTCCTACTCCCTGCTACAGGTAGAGGGTGCCTGGCTGCAAGGCCGCATCCGGGAAGAGTTTGAGAAGCTCCGAGAGTTCTTGAGGAAGGAGGAGCAGGCCACCCTGGATGCCATGACCAACGAGGCCAGACAGAAGCAGCTCCTGGCTGACCAGAAGATGAAGCGGCTTGAGGAAGAGACTGAGATGCTGGCCCATGAGATCGAGCGGCTGCAGGCGGAAATGAAGGAGGACGACATTTCTTTTCTCATGGTAAGGAGCTCAGCGTCCCGACTCAGGGATGGGACCGGGTGTTCAGAAACCAGGCAGCCTGGCCAATCCCCATGTCCCACGGCTTCCCAGCACCTGGCCCACAAGAGCTAACGTTGATAAGCTGTTTGCATCAGAGGCTGGAAAGACTGACAGAGCAGAGCCTGGGAGCCTCTCATCTCTCCCCGCTTCTCCTGCACTCACTTTCATTTATTTTCTGTTCTTTTAAAATGGAATCTTTGAAAGTTACTCAGCTATTGGAATTTTTTTATTTAAATATGATGCCCTTGTAGTCTCTCTTGTTAAGAAAAGGATGATTCTAGTCTTCCTTTAATAGTGTTGAATTCATTTTTTTGTTTCATTTATTGGTTTTGTCACTGCTCCTTACAAAGAAGTTTCTGTAACTCAAAAGCTGGTTGATAAATCAGTCAGGAAACCTATCAGGGTATCTCCTCCCCCTGCAGAGAGCAGACATCTCTGGGAAAGGGGGTCTGTCTAGCAGAGTGGGGAGGGTCAGCGCCATCAGGCAGGGTGTCCCATCCTGGCTAGGACCTCTGTGGGTTATCTACCTCCTACAAAGCCTTAAACCACCGTGTCCCTGTCCCCACATTAGCCGATTACGGAATCACTGGATGGGATTAAAAGATGGGTTCCTTGCCAGTTCTGTTGAGGAAACTAGGAGTGTTGTCCTGTCCAGTCTCCAGTGTGCTTCCAGGAATGCTTTTGTCTTATAACTATGTTTGTTGCTGTTGTTATACAATTTGCATACTATGCTACAACATTCACTCATTTTTTAAATTTTACTTTTTAAAAGACAGGCTCTTGCTTTGTTACCCAGGTTGGCTTCAAACTGTTGGGTTCAAGAGATCTTTCTGCCTTAGTCTCTTGCGTAGCTGGAACTACTAAGGCTTACAGCCACTTTGACTTCATTTGCCCATTTAAAATACACAGTTCACCAGTTTTCAGTATGGTACAGGGTTGTGCAACCATCACGACTGTCTGTCTTGGGATATTTCATCACCCTCAAAAGGAAGGTCTGTACCCTTCAGCGATCACATCTCAATCTTTCCTCCCTCATCCTCTGGCAGCCAGCTATTTTTCTAGATTTGCCTATTCTAAACATTTCGCATAAATGGAATCTTGTAATATGTAACCTTTCGTGGCTGGCTTCTTGCATTCAGCATGTTTTGAGATTTTATCCATATTACAGCATCTATTAGTACTTCTTTCTTTGTTAAAGAACATTCCATTGTATATTTTATTGGTTACATTGATGGTCATTTGGGTTATTTCTACTTTTTCTTTCTTTTTTTAAAATTCAGTACCAGGGATTGAATCAAGGGCCTTTACACTGCACTGTATCCTCAGCCCTCTTTTTAAAATTTTGAGACAAAGTCTCACTAAGTTGTCCAGGATGGGCTTGAACCTACTATTTTCCTGCCTCAGCCTCCTAAAGTGCTGGTATTACAGGCAGGTGCTCCTGGGCCTAGCTTACGTTTTGGGTTTATTGATAATAAACATTCATGTACTACTTTCTTGTGGATCTGTTTTCATTTCTCTTGGGTATATCTAGGAATAGATTTGCTGGATCTGAAGTACCTTTAGTTTAACTATGAGGATTTGCTAGGCTGTTTTCCAGAGTGGCTATACTGTTTTATATTCCCACCAGCAGTATATGAGGAATCCAGTTTCTCTACATCCTTGCCAACTCTTTTTTTTTTTTTTTTAGTAGCTATGCTGTGGAGTGTGAGGTGGTGTGTCAGTGTGCTTTTGATTTGCATTCCCTGACGACTAGTGGTGTTGAGTATCTTTCATGTGCCTATTGGCCTTTGTAGCTCTTCTGTGGAGAAGTGTCTGTTCCAACTGTTCGTCCATTTTTTAATTGGGCTGTCTTTGTTGTGCATTTGTAAGAATTCTTCATCGCTTTGATCCACTTTGAGTTAATTTTTTATATAAAGTCAGGCTCCAACTTTATTGTGTTACATGTCAATATCTACTTGTGCCAGCATCTTTTTTTTTTTTTTTTAAAGATGGTTCTCTTCCCCATTGAATGATCTTGACCCCTTGTAGATAGTTGAGAGTAAATTGAGGGTTTATTTCTGGACTTTGAATTCTGTTTCATTGATTTATATGTCTGTTTTGGGATTTTCTGGTGGAGGAGTAGTCCTGGAGACTGAACCCAAACGAGACCTCATAGCAAAGCACTCTACTGCTGAGCTACGTTCCTTGCCCTTTTTATTTTTTTTATTTTGAGACAGGGTGTCACTACTCAAGCTAGTGTCAAACCTGTGATCCTCCTCCTGCCTCAGCCTTCTGAGTAGCAGAGATGGACAGGTATACACTACTATATCTGGCTGTATGTCAGTTTTCATGTTAGTACCATGTCCTCTAATTTCTGTTGGCGAGTAAGAGCCATCCACGTTTGTTCTTCTTTTTCAAGATATTTTGGATAGTCTCAGTTCCTTGAATTTCCATATGAATTTTAGAGTCAGTGTTGTAGTTTCTGCAAAGAAGTCACCTAGGACTTTAAAGAGATTACACTCAATCTGTGTATCACTTTAGGCAGTATTGACATCATAACATTGTTAAATCTGATTTGTGAACACGGGAGGCATGATTCCTCTTGAGGTCAGAAAACTCACACACTTTCTCTGTGTCTCTGTTTTTTCCTTCAGAAACACAAGAGTCGAAAACGCCGGTAAGTTGCCAGGTCTTGTGGAAGGGAGGGTAAGAGCAGGCCAAAAACCTAGTGGTGCAAATTCCAGTGGCTCCAGGGCCAGGCAGGTAGTGCAGTCGCTGGGTGGAACCCGAGGGACTGGGGCGCTGGCAGGTGAAGAGTCCTTCACAGCACCTGTGCGGGCCAGTATGGCGGTGAGGAGTTGTTTTCCCTGGGTGGAGGGTCACCATCCCCTGTGCAGGGAGGAGCGTTGTGCGCACGGCTCACGTTTCTCGGTGGTCCCCCAACATTGAGGGGTTTGGCTCACTTCCTTGCTCTCAGACCCAGGACACAGCCTCAGGATACTGATGGCTGTTGGGTTCCCTGGGATGCATAAGAAAGAACTGTGTCCTGGTCTGAGTGGTTGAGAGACCAGAGAGTGCTTTGGGTGGTAGTGAATTCCTGTCACTGGAGGTATTCGGAACGGCTGGGTGACACTTTGGCTCTGTTGGACTAGAGCGTTGTTAAAGTTCCCTCCAGTTCAGACAGCCTGTGACCAGAGGTATGTGCCTTCTGTCCACAAGGGTGGCGGCCCTGTCGGAGAACCTCCTATTTGTATTTCTCCCAGCTGGGGTAGGATGAGCCTTCTGACCAAATGCGGGCGTGGTGTGGCAGCCAGATAGGCTCGCTGCCCAATCCAGGGGATGGTTTTGGGGAAGATGACTGGGAATTGAGACCCGAGGCAAGGGGACAAGTCCAGCGGCCCAGCCCCAGCCCTGCACACCATGCCCGGTCCTCCTTTCCCAGGCTCTTCTGCACCATGGAGCCGGAGCCTGTCCAGCCAGACATGCTTGTTGATGTCTGCAAGTACCTCGACTCCCTCCGGTACCGGGTCTGGAAGAAGATGATTACATGTGTGGAATCCGGTGAGGACCGCGGGCAGGTGACCCGGGCAGGGGAAGCACTGCACACTGTGGAGGGGGCAGCCAAGCTGTCTCTGCGGGCTCCGTCTTGTCTCCCAGCTGGCCCCCTCCAGCCTCTCCCAGGCATGCCTGACGACTCCTGTCCCTCCTGTCTGACTGCCCCAGCCCCTCTGGCCAGCTCCTTCCTGGGCAGAACCTGACCCTCTGTCACCTCTTCAGAAAGACGAACTCTCTCCTTCCTATTCAGAACTGTAACACGTGTGACGAGGGACCTCATGCAGGGTCCCCTCTCCCAAGGTGACCGCAGCCCATGCCAACCATCATGGCCTGGTGTATGTGTCAGGGAGGGGATGTCATGCTTTTTCTAGGATACCGCAGTCTTGTGAACATGATGAGTCCCTGCCTCTGTTAGTACCTCTGGTTGCTATCACAAAGGACACAAATGGAGTTGCTTCAAAGGACAGAAATTTATTCTCGCAGCCGAGGTGGCGGCGGGGCCATGGTCCTTCTGAAATTTGTAGAGTGGGCCCTTTTCACCGCTTCTGGCTTTGGGGGCCTGGTTGCATTGCTTGGCCGTCCCTGGCTTCTGACTGCAGCTCTTTGACCTCTGCCCTCTCTGTCACGTGATGACATTCTTCCCAGTGTCGTTGCCACTTTTCCTGGAACAGTCATGTGGGACCAAGGGCCCACCCTACTACAGCCTGAGTTCATCCTAACTAATTCCATTTGTGTCAGCCCTGTTCCCAAAATGGCTACATTCTGAGGAACTGGGGCTTGGGACTTCCTGTTATGGGGACCCAGTCCAGTCCATAACGCCATCCGCCTGGCAGCACCCTGGGTGCCTAGATGGGTGGAACAAAGGTGGTCGGTCAGCCAGCATGGCAGAAGGGGTGTCGTGTTTGCTGACCGTCCTCTTCCTCTCCCCCTGCCCTCAGTGCCCTTCAGCCTGGACCCCAACACGGCAGCTGGCTGGCTTTCAGTGGCTGACGACCTCACCAGCGTCACCAACCACGGCTACCACGTGCAGGTGGAGAACCCAGAGCGCTTCTCCTCGGCGCCTTGCCTCCTGGGCTCCTGCAGCTTTTCGAAGGGCTCTCACACCTGGGAGGTGGCCCTGGGGGGGCTGCAGAGCTGGCGGGTGGGTGTGGTGCGGGTGCAGACGGAGGAGGGCGCAGAGGGCCACTCGCTTAGCAACTACCACGACATGCGCTCCGGCTTCTGGTACTTGTGCCGCACACAGGGCGCAGAGGGGGACCACTGTGTGGCCTCGGACCCGGCGACGTCCCCCCTGGTCCTGGCCATCCCACGCCGCCTGCGCGTGCAGCTGGAGTGCGAGGAGGGTGAGCTGTCCTTCTACGATGCTGAGCGGCACTGCCACCTGTACACCTTCCACGCCCGCTTCGGCGAGGTGCGGCCCTACTTCTACGTGGGGAGTGCGCGGGACGACAGGCCCCCTGAGCCTTTGCGTATCTGCCCGCTGCGCATCAGCATCAAGCAGGAGCTGGACAGCTGAGCAGGCCTGGGCCTCGTCTTGATGCCCACCCCGGCCTGGATGCCTCTGCCCTCTGCCTTCGGGCAGCGTTCCCCACAAACCCTGTCCTGTCTGGGTTTTGCCCCTTCTCCATAGTAAAAGCCCCCAGGAGGCCTCTTGCTGGGCCCAGGCTCTGCCCGGAGTTGGGGTGCCTTCAGGGTGTGAATATTCTGAGCCTCACTCTAGGACTTTGCTTCAGGAAGGGGCCTGTTTGTCCTGCACTGTAGGTGTCACTATTTCCCAGGTTTGGTGAGGCCTGTCATCTGGATGACTGCCATTGGAAAGACTTCATCACTGTTCCCAAGAGAAGCGGGGAGGCTCCACATTGGGCCACCGAGGGCCTGGCAGGAGGCAGGGCAGCAAGGAGGGAGTACGGCCAAAGGCTTTGTCATAGTTCTCTGGGAAGCAAAGGCAGGGTGCAGAGGCTTGGGATGGGCCAGTCTGAGTAGTTGCAGCGGGTTCTGGGGTGTAGAGGCCGCCCCGGAAGGACTGACAGTTGCCCAGGAGAGCCCTGGGAAGCAGGTTCAGGAGGCAGTAGGGGCCGGACGCTGGGCTGGTAGGTGTCAGGGGATTGGCTGGCTTGGGAGGGGCCTGTGGAATCCCCAGGTCCAGCGCTTCAGGAACACAGTAAGAGCAGCGCAGTTCGTGCAGGGCCTTGCGGTGGCTTCGGGGCTCAGCTTGCCTGTCGCCTTCGGTTACTGTTTAAAACTGCTGCACAGGTCTCACCGGGCAGGCTGAGGCAGAACTCACTGGCCCTGTTGATCAGCTCTGTTTTTCTGTTTATATTTGAATAGACAGTTTCCTCAGAACCAAGGGTTCCAGAGCACTTTTCTTCCCACACGGTCTCAGTTTCCTCACTGGTGAGATGATAGGACTGGCAGACAGTGTCCTTATATAATTGCCATGGAGGAGGTTCCTCCGCTTAAGTCTTTCCGAGGTCTGAGAAGGGAAGGAAGGAAGAGGCCCTTTGTAGTTAGGAAGAAGAAAAGGGGTGCAGTCTGGGGGCCCCACGACTGTGACCCAAGACCCAATTGCGTGGGATGGGGAGGCAGACACCCTCGTCTGTGCTGCTTTCTTGTCTTCCCTTGCTTCATCCGCCCGACTGCTTTGGCACTGCCGCCTCTTGGGGCTCCTTCTCTCCCCCTGCCGTGTGCCTCCACCTTTTCTTCCTCAGCCTGCAGGTAGTTTCTAGTTGCAGCCCAGGAAGCCAGACAGTAAAAGCAAACATTTCACCATGGGTGTGGTACTCTAACAGGTCACATTCCCAGCCAAGGATGGGCATCCTACCTCTTGCCTGTATCCCCCACTTCATAAAAACTGACATTTTAAACACAGTATGACCCATGCCCATTAACTGGTTATCAATGTCTTGTGCACATTGGTTATGTAACAAGTGGGGGGTCACGGGGAGGGGCCAGGTTGGAGCTGCCACTGCGATTCCAGCCAAGTTGGGAGAGCAGAGGAAGTTGACCACTGGCCCGTGCGTTTCAGGTGCTCAGGCCCAAGAAGGCCCCTGGCAATTCGGGAGCCAAGCAGGTCTGAGAGTGTACGCCTTCTGCTATTGAGTGTTTACCTGTCGTGTACAGTTTCTGTATAGTGAACTTGACCTGAAACTACTTTGTTATCATAGAGTTTAAAAGTGTTTTTATTTTTACCTTCGATGCAATTTTTAAAAAAACATTAAAGATAATTTGATCTGGATACGGTGATGCACATTTGTTATCCCATCACTGTGGGAAGTTGAGGCAGGAGGATCACAAGTTCAAACCCAGCCTGGGCAACTTCGGATAGCTTAGGCTTTTTCCAAAAAATAAAAACTATACATTCTTTTAATATACGTTTCAAGTTCGTCCATGTTGTAGCATGTATTTATTCCTTTTGTTGTAATATTGAATGGAATGATACTACATTTTATTTATCAGTTGGTGGGTTTTGGCTGTTTCTGTTCTTGGCTCCTATAAGTAATACTACTGTGAACATTTGTGTACAGTTTTTATGTGGACATGTCTTTAACTCTTTGTGGTAAATAAATACCTGGGAGTAGATTCGCCAGATCACTTGGCAACTCTGGTCTTTCGATGAACCGCCCAGCTGTTTCCCAGTGCGAGGTCCCGTGTTCTGCTCCTGCCGGTGGTGGGCGAGGGCTCTGGCTGTCTTTGCCTGTAGTTAGCTGTCGTCCTGGCCAGGGTGGCAGGTGGCTCCCTGGGCTTTGATTTACATTCCCCTGGTGGCTGACACACTGAGCATCTTTTCATGTGTTCGTCATTTGTTTGTCTGCTTAGGAAAACTTCAGAGCCTTTGCCCATTTTTAACTGATCATTTGTCTTTTTATTCTAAGTACAAGTCTGCCAGATGTCTGACTTACAAAACTTTCATTCTCTGGGTGGTCTGTCACTTGATATCCTTTTAAACCTAAACTTTTTTTTTTTTAAATTTTAATGCTGTCCAATTAATTTTTTCTTTTATTTGCGTATTCTAGCTTTATTTGTTTATTTTGTTTTGGTGGTATTAGGGATTAAACCCAGGGACAGTGCCACCGAGTTACGTCCCTGTCCTTTTTATTTTGAGGCAGGTCGCTGAGTGGCCTAGGCTGGCCTGGAATTTTGGCTCGTCCGGCCTCAGTCTCCTGAGTAGCTAGACTTGCAGACCTTTGCTCTCTCTCCTGGAAGGTGAAATTCCAAAAGAATGTGATCACTGGCTAAATAGCAGAACAGTGGGAGGCCTTCCCGACCCTCATGGTTAGTGATGAGCCAGGGCAGGAAATTTCCCCAGCACCTTAGACATTAACAGAGCTCCCCAGCTGGCTCTTGTCCCCTCTGCCTCCTTCATCGGCATGGACCCTGCCGGGACTCTGGCTGCCACTGTGTGCTGCTCCCCCTGAGGGACGCGCTAGGCTTCTGCATGGAGATGTGTAAAGGCAGCAGCCACATCACTGTCACCTCTCCAGCCCTAGACCAGGAATGTTGCTGGGGCAGAGCTGACAACGGTGTGGAACAGATGTCTGGTCACGTACTACCTAAGGGTGTGAGTCAGCAGCAGGCCACATAGACAAAGGTGGTTCCATAGATTGTAATGGGGCCGAAAAGTTCCTGTCATCCGGTATTTTTTCCTCGGCCTTCTCTTTGTTTAGCTGTTTGAGTACAAAGATGCTTTACGTGTGCCCATGGCCCACAGCGCCAGTGCAGCAGAGAAGCATCTGCTCGGTGTGCAGCAGGCTGTACCATCTGGGTTGGTGCAAGCACACTGTGACGCTCAGACAGCTGCCGAAGGCACACTTCTCAGAACGTCCCTTGAGCCAGGTCACACCCAAGCCACACTGAGCAACGTGTGACTGTCTGAAAAGCTATCCTCCAAAGCCCCACAGAGCGCGGTAGCATTTGAGGGGAAAGTGACACAGCCTGCAATCCAGATGCCCAGTGCCAGCACCAAGCCTGTGATGCACAAGCTACTTGCTTTTGAACACCTGCGCCCAGGAGCGGAGTGAGGGTACCTGCTCCGGTTCTGGGGACGTCTAGCCAGCTGGGTTTTGGTAAAGATGCCCAGTACCATCCTACATCTGCCACAGGCTTATGCATTGGTTGGTTCTTCTGCAAGTGGGAAACTGCATGGTAAAATGATTCACAATGACGAACCGCAAAGAAAGGTGAGAAACAGATGCAACTTACGTCAGGAGTTTACGCTTCCTCAGATCTTTAACAAGATGTGCACATAAACATGTTCGTGAAAAACATCAGTAATGTGGGAAAATGGATATGCTATATGCTATAATAGCCAATAAAAGATTTCACAGACAGATATGCAACATACAGATCGACAAGCAAGAGCTTGTCTTTAATTTATGCGTGTGTGATTAGATAATACGTTTACCTGGCTGCAGAGGCCAAAGGGACAAGGTGTACTGGGACAGTGTCATTCTTCTGCACATCCAGCTCCTCTCCTTGTAGACAATTGTCCTTTTAATCTTTCCAGAGATATTTTGTGCATAGCACGTGGTCTGGTTCTGAGTATATTCTGCCCACTCCCAGCACATTGTAATTTAAGAGCAGATTTCCCTGCTCTGTATCCCTGAGCAACCCAACCAAGAGGAGAAAACTCAAAATAAAAGATGTTATTAAAATAATTTTTTCTCCTCACGGGGGAGGTTTGTCCTGGATGTTTTCATGCAGTCAGTTCAGTTGGTGGATTTCATTTTTTGTTTTTGTGTAAATATTGCACTGTAGGGTTTTAAAACAAAGAGGAAAAGCTAAATAAAAACATTAAATCTGAGACCTCCACATTTAAAAAAATCTTCCTCCTCATGTCATCGTGGACAACAAATGAAACCCTACCTCAAAACAAAAGTGTTCCCTGGGTTAAAAGCTCAGTACTACAAACAAACAAACCTCAGTCCTCACAAAGGCATCCAGTTAGTGGTGGGAGACTGGGATATGGGATTGAACAACCTGGGTTCAAACACTGAGTCACCCACCGTGTGGCCTTGCGAGAGTGTCTTAACCTCTCTGCCTTATTTTCATGTGAAAAAAGAGTTCCTACCTCTTCTGGTAGTTTCGAGATTTTTAAGTAAACAAACGTGCAAGTAACTTGAACTAGAGCTTGAAACTTGAGTTTAGCGGTTCAGTTCACTAGTGTTAGACCTGCCCCTGCTGCCTAAATTGCGGTGACTGTGATAAAGCCATTCAACTTCTGTAAGCAGGAAGGCCTGGACACGTGTTTATTTTTCCAGGTTATTTCCATTCTAACAGTGTGTGGTTCACAATCTGTGTCACTAGCAAGACCCTGTGCCTTTCTCACTGAGGACGGGTGAGTCAGGGTGCTGCTGCAGAACAGTTCCGAGAACGTGGGTGTCGGCCAGGCATGACTGTAATTCCAGCACTCTGGAAGCTGAGGCAGGAGGAGAGCCTCGAGGGCCAGCCTGAACTACATAGTGAGTTCATAAGTTTAAGGCCAGCCTGAACTACATAGCGAGACCTTATCTCAATAAACAAACAAACCCAGAAGCAAAAGAATCTGGGTGGGGTACCAGAGGTTTTACCTCATGTTTTAAGCCTGGAGAAAAAAGACAAGGATCGTAGTGTTTCCAGCATAGGAAAGGATATTCTAGAGAGGAGCAGATCTTGCAAAATTGTGCATACGATTAGTAACTGGATCCTGCACAATAAAGTATTGTCACGTTTTAAGTGGCTGCATACCTGTGTGTGTGTGATTAAAGATGTCAAAGTCCGACTCGTACCGACTGTGGAGGTGACTTTAATGGCAGCCAAGCTGTTGAGATTGGACAAAGATGATTGTTAGAGTGGGAGGTGCCGGGATTGAAGCATCTCGTTTCAAGGTTTCAGTAACAAAATGCAGCTTTTTACCTGGCCCGTCCCGCCCGCTCCCCCAGCCACGCCAGTAAGGACTGAAGTCTGACGGCCTGGGCCCAGGGCAGCTTTCCTGCTCCGGAGTGCGGCTTGTCCTTGCTCGTGGGTGTCACTGGGTGGGTTTCCTCAGCCAGGGAACAGGCTGAGGAGGATGGGAGATTCGGTTTCTATGGATACTGGGCTGGCTGGGAATTGCATAATGTAGCTCAGAGAACAGTCTAGGAACACAGCGACCACGGAGATACGAAGAGGTCCAGGAAAACGAGCTGGAAGGTCTGGGGAACCAGGCTCCACAGCAGCCCTCTTCTAGAAGGGACCTGAATCTGCAACCTGCTCTGCACAGGAATCGGCTCGCTGGAGCTCTCGGAAGGAGGGCTGCGATGTGCGAAGAGCGCCCCCAACTGGGCATTTCACGTACTTACGGCTCAGCCAACGCGGGTGCTGTCTTGTGGCCTCATGAGCTGAACTACCGGCTAAGGCACCCTTCCTTAGCTGTGCCTGGCCTTGGAGCTGCTGGTTTACTCCCCAAACACACCCCCTGTGCTACTGTACTCCTCGGCACCAGCTGAGCACCATGTGAGAGAGATGCGAGAGGACAGGACGCCGGTGCAGCTCACTGGCCAATCCTCACAAAGCCAGACCTCAGACCCAAGATTCCTGGTGTTACCATCCCCAAACCCCAAAGCACCTGGGGTGCGCAGCAGTAAACGAGGCAGTTCACTTTGTGAGGCTCCCACCCCCAGGTAGGGGTGAGGGAGGTAAGGAGGAGAAAGGGGCACCGAGGATCAGGAGGAGGTGGGCAGAGCACACCAGGTGGGGAGGGTGGGAGCCAGCTGGCCGCCAGGTTTGGGCCTGAGTGGCACGTGGTCACTGACAGGTGGGCTGGGGGAGGGCAGGGGAGTGCCGTTGTGTCTGTGGACTTGTCAGGTGGGAAGAGGAAGGCCACTGGATGGAAGCTCTGTAGCTGAAGATCTGAAGATGGGATACGACGTGTGATTGGAAAATATGCTGTGCGTTTAAATAAACAAAATTACAGCAAAAGACACATTGGCATGAATCCCCTTCAGAATCTTCCCCCTCGCTTCACACACACTTACCCATGCATCCCAACGCTCTTGCCACTTTCTGAAACAGTTCTGGAAGTCCTCTTTTGGGAGTGTCTTTAGTTGCCGTGTCCTGACTGCTTCAAAATCCTAAATCAATTCAAAATATTTCCTTTTTGCGGTCATTTTGGCCTTTGGGAGGAGGCAGAAGTCACACAGCACCAGATCTGGTGAATAAGGTGGACGAAGACAGATGTTTTCACAAGCCTTTCTGTTGGTTGGGAAGTGGCAGTAATCTTCACCACAGCTTTGATCACGCCTTGTAAAGACACTCGGGAAAGAGGACTCCAGAAGTGCTTCAGTACGTGGCAAAATGATGGATAAATGTGCTTACAACGAGGGGGAGTATTTTGAAGGAGATTCATGGCAATGTGTCTTTTACTGTAATCGTTCTTTAACATATTTTTAGACATTTGCCATGCATTTCCATCACCCCTAGTACAGGGTCAGGCACAGTCAGCACGGTGGGCTTGTTGAGGCCATGGGAGTCTGAGTGTCACGTGAAGAATGAACAGGTAAAAGGAGACAGGGACAGAATCCCGGGGAGCACTGACCCATTCAAGCGCGGGCCAAGGATTTGGGTTAGGCTTT